TTATAATGTAGAATAATGAAAAAAAATTCTCAAACTCAAATTTTGTGGACCAGGGGGGGGGTGTCTTTTCCAACAAAATAAAAATGGCTCGCGCACAAAATTTAAAAGATGTAATCATATTTTGAGTTTACAGATGGAAACTTTGTCGGGGTTTTAATTACTGTACAAAATTTCAGACAATTTGGTTTAGTTTAAGCCCTTTAACTATTTATTTTATTCTAAAAAATCAGCGTTTCGCATGCTTAATTAATGCCTTTACCTAATTTGCATATTGCTGACATATGCAAATTAGGCAAATGCATTAATTAAGCATGCGAAAAGCTGATTTTTAGGAAAAATGTAACTTTGCGTGAATAGTTAAAGGGCTTAAACTAAACCAAATTTTCTGAAATTTTGTACAGTAATTAAAAACCCGACAAATTTGCCATCTATTAACTCAAAATATGATTACAACTTTTAAATTTTGTGCGCGAGCCATTTTTAATTTGTTGGAAAAGACACACCCCCCTGGTTCACAAAATTTGAGTTCAAGAAATTTTTTCATTATTCTACATTATAGGTACCCAAAGAAGCTATATATATAAAAAACCGGATACAAATAGGTGTTTAGCGAAATTGAGAGCAATTTCAAATCTGTTCAGTTTTTTTTGATACACCCTGTATAGTTAAAAAATGCCCTGACATTTTGCCGAATGGACATTTTGACGAACGGAGTTTTCGCCGAAAAGACATTTTGCCGAACGGACAATTTGCCGAAAATAGAGATGTTATTTCGCATTCGCCGCGTTCGCCCACCGACAATTTGTCAAATTGTTTGGGACGGTGACTTAATTGTCATGTCGATGAGTCATTAGCAGTGCATAACCATATATTGATAGTTTGTTTGTGCAGCGGATGACTCATTTGTTAGGAACGTGTTTTGACGTCAGGTCGCAAACAAACAAGCGTATAAAAAGGCAGCGGCGTAAGCAAATTTCATTTCGAGAATGATGGAACACATTTGCAGTTCTCGGAGAAATCGCAAATTTGCAAATTGCAAAATGCTCTGGCAGACTCTCAACTCTAGTGGAAACCTTATGGCAGCAACCATCAGAGCATTCGCATCCACCTGATCCATATATATGTATGCTTTTTATGATAATATATATATATGCCTTTTATGAAATATATACATAATAAACTTTTACTTTAACATTCATGAATCATGTTATTCTCACTGGACATCATGGTCTTCATATCCGTACACAACTTAGTAAAGTTCTTGCTTCTGCTTATCCACATATTTCCATACGTGTTGTTTTCCGTCCTTCTTGTCGCCTTTCTAGTTTCTTTCCATTTAAAGACAGGATTCCCTTTGCCCTGAGATCACATGTTGTGTATCAGTTCACGTGTCAATGCTGTAGCGCATTGTATGTTGGCCAAACACGCCGACACATTCACACACGTATATCTCAGAGCATATGGGAGTCTCGCCTTTGACTGGAAAGGAACGCTCTATCTCAACCATGTCTGGTATACTCGCTCACAAACACATGCACAAACACCCAGTCTCCGCTTCCGATTTCAAAATTCTATCTTCAGGCACTTCTGAGTGGGATCTTCTTATCCGTGAAAGCCTATTAATTTCTCAAATTAACCCTGTCCTTAATGCTAATATTAGATCTGCCCCTCTTGAGTTATTTTAGTTATGTAATATTAACCTTAACTATACTAACCATGCACTTAACATTAATCTTTACTTATTAACTTGTTACTGATAAGTTGTTTTCCTTTCTTTCTATTCATTTGTTCTTTCAAATTATGTAACCGTTTTTGTAATAGTAAACCATTATTTTGTAAATATATATACCATACCCTGTAAATTCATTTAGATTGCTCTGAAGATGTTGTATTGTAAACAACGAAACGTTAGCTAATTAAATTTTTACTTTTATTATGTTTGGTTTTAAAGTTATTTGCTGGGCTTTGCTCTTTATCTTTAAACTAAGATTTCCGCCTGGTGTATCAATTGCCACAGTTTTAAAAAAAAAATCCATAATTATCACTGAAGTAATTGTATCATCACTGTTGCCATGGTATTGATACTTTTATTGATTTCTTGGGTTGTGACTGGGTAATTTGAAAGAGTGAGTTGAAAAAAGTCGTCAGCAGTAGACCATTGTAATGGCGATTTTGGCAATTTTATTCCTTTCTTTAAATCAGGAAAGATTTCTTGGGCGTTTAGACTCGGAACTGCATCCTCTGCTGATTGAACATTGTCATCGCATATTTGTTCATTTAAAGCATCAGTCATTTGTTGTTGTAATTCCTCCTCCATGTCATCAATTACTTTACAGCTACGTTGATGCATCTTTAAACCACGAGCGCCTTTACACACTTTACCGCAACAACATTTGACAACTTTATATGAACTGGCTGGTAAACATTCTTGAGTACGAATTTCAACAGCAGGAACTTTATTTTGCTCTGATGTTTGGTCAAACTCAACCTTATTTTTACAGCGCCATGTATGACGGCCCAGTGAAGCAAAGTCCTTTCCACAAAATCCACATATAACCAGAGTTGAAAACAAGGCAAGCAAGCTTGCACGAATCATTCTTAAATAATTATATTAATAGGACAATCGCAGCCTAGACCTAGGCCTTCTATTTTTATTTATATTTTTTTAATATTCAGCGCTTTTTCACATGAAAAGACTGGGACTAGGTGATTTGGGGGCGGGGCGGAGGAAGGATACAAGCCTGACGCAAGCGAAAAAATAGAAGGCCTAGTGGATTTCCCAACAACAAGGCGAAAACTGCCCTGAAACTGCCCTGATTGCGAAATGCCCAATTGTTGCGTTCTCAAACAGAATTATTTGCGACTTAACAGCGAATTTAAACCGATACAGGTAAAATAAACTCATTTATAGTATAACTTACTATTTTTATTTGTATACACGTCTAGAAAATCGGGGGTTTTATCATAAAGTTTGAAGCAACACTATATTATTATGTTGACAAGGTGAAGCGAAAGCACAAAATAATAATTCTTTTATTCGCAAGACAATCTACTGTTTTGCTTTGAATAACTATATTTGGGAATGAGGAATTTGAAATTATATTGTTCAAATTTTACGGATATACCATTTGTAAACAATGTACGTTTTTATATACAGTACTGTACGGGCTAATAATATATGTATCCGTTTTATTTAATAAATTATAATTGCATATGTGTTTGTATATTTTACAAACACAAGACTGCTTCTTGCCAAAATTGAGAAAATATATATTAATGTAGTTGTGTATAAGACAAAATTTCATGAAAGATTCTACTTTTGGTATATATTTTGACTCATTTTGTGCTTTCGCTACACCTTGTCAAGTAAATGTCAACATATTAAATAATAGTGTTGCTTCGAACTTTATGATAAAACCCCCGATTTTCTAGACGTGTATACAAATAAAAATAGTAAGTTTATACTATAAATGAGTTTATTTTACCTGTATCGGTTTAAATTCGCCGTTAAGTTGCAAGTAATTCTGTTTGAGAACGCAATAATTGGGCATTTTGCAACCAGGGCAGTTTCAGGGCAGTTTTGGCCATGTTGTTGGGAAATCAACTAGGCCTTCTAGTCTTGGTTCCTCCGCCCCGCCCCCAAATCACCTAGTCCCAGTCTTTTCATGTGAAAAAGCGCTGAATATGAAAAAATATAAATAAGACTAGAAGGCCTAGGTCTAGGCTGGGACAATCGTATATTAAATGTAACAATTCAAGTTGAAATTTTTTAATTAAAACAGAGGACATGTACAGACAACGTGTTAACGCGACTGCTCTATATAATAATAATAATAATAATAATAATAATAATAATAATAATAATAATAATAATAATAATAATAATAATAATAATAATAATAATAATAATAATAATGATAATGATAATAATAATAATAATAATAATAATAATAATAATAATAATAATAGTAATGGAAACTTTATTGAAATTATATACGTATATATACAATTATAAATCTCACTAATTTAGGTAATTTATAATTGACTACTTGAAC